TCCTGGAGACTGCCAGGGCAAGACCTTGAAGTTTTCTTGACAAGGTTTTTAAGAAATGGGTTGCCACTGTTTGCTTTCCAGAGCTGAGAGAGAGGGACCGGGCCAAGGTCATCCAGCTGGCTTGGGGCCTAAAGTAGGGCTAGAACTCACGGTCTCCTGGTTTCTAGCTTGGTGCCTTAACCACCACCTTAACCTTAACCACCACACCACCCTGGCACTTTTATTCATGACGCTGGGAAAGAAAGAGATTGTGATGAAGACGATGGCAAACCATTTCCAAAAAGCCTTCCCAAGAAGACTGCAGAGACTTGTCCATCATCAACTAAATAAGCATATAAACAAACAAAGGGAGCGGAAAAGGGAGAAAGGAAAAGGGAAGAGCTCAGTAAGAGAAGAAGCCAGAAGATCCAGGAAATTAGATCTTTGTCTCTACAGTTGGAGAGTTAGATTCGAAACCCTGTTCAATAACCTTGGTGCCTCCAAGAGAAGTGAGATCTGTTGGTCAGTTTCCTTCCAAAGTGACAGACGAGGTGGGGATGATGGGAGCTGGAAGGGACCAACCAGGGAAATGGCAGACTCATTGAAAGGGAACATTGTCAAGTAAATCTTAACATTGATAGAAGAGAATATTTGGAGCTCAGGGTGAACTCTGATGATGTTACCTAGTTTGGTAATGAAATATCTGCAAGAAAACCACCAAGAGAGCACCAAGGAACCCACACTCTCCTCCTCCTCATTCTCCTCCTCTTCCTCCTTCTTCTCCTTCTCCTCCTCCTTCCCCTCCCCCTCCTCTCCACTCCATTCTAGCACTGATCATGTTACCTAGTTTGGTAATGAAACATCTGCAAGAAAACAATCAAGAGAGCACCAAGGACCATACAGTCTCCTCCTTCTCCGTCTCCTCCTCCTCCTCCTCCTCTCTGTAAACCCAATTCCCTTCTAGCACTGATGATGTTACCTTGTTTGATAATGAAACCTGCAAGAAAACCACCAAGCTCAGAGAGCACCAAGGACCCCACATACTTTAATATGCACTTCATGGTCAAACCTCACAGACTTGGGTGCCCCTGTCTCCTCCTTCTTCTCCTCTCCCCAACGCCTGAGCATTGATTTGTTTTGCTTCATTCCCCCTGGAACGGTTGCAGGCCCAGACACCACCCTGTGTTTGTACCAGCATGTGATTGCCTCCTGCAATCCATCTGTTTACTCCTCTAAATGAGAATTGTGGATCAGTTTTAGTGGCACAATTCCCACTGGCTGTTACTACTCACTTCACCTGACCAAATCCGGTGGCTTTTTTTGCTGTTTTGTTTTGTTTTAAAACAAAATGGAAAATAAGGCCGAAGAAGCTGAAGTGCGATTTAACAACACAATTTGCCCCCAAGCCAAAGCAAACTTCTGGACTGGACCCTCTTAGGGTGTTTGCAAGCCGTAAAAAGGAACACAAGTGTTTGCCTGGTTTATCGCAAGGGACAATCACACTTTTCTGCTCAGCACCATGTTTTTTTTCTCATTTTTGCAAGGTTGGCATGAGGGTAGAAAGAGGATCTTTGCTCTGTTTTCGGTTTTGTAAATACCCCTGAGTTAATCAGCTCTGCCCAATGTTTCCCGCCTTCACTCAGACGTCACACGGGAAATTAAAAATTGGGCTAAAGAATTGGAAGAAATGATTTGGATGGCAAACATACACAGCAAAAAGCCTGTTAGAAGTATGTGCATTTGTGCATTATAAAGACACACATACATATACAGATTATAGCTAATGCAGAATTGAATTACTTTTTTAAAGTGCAAATTGATGTAAACACAATACATACAGAACTGAATAACTGATAAAACAAATTAATTAAACCATATGATTGAGTACCCTGCTTACAAGGAAGGAAGGAAGGGAGGGAGGGAGTAAGTCAACAATTTTGTCATGATATGTGCATGAAGGATAGAAGCATTTTAAGACAGTTCAGAAAACTCAAAGGGGCATTTCTCTGCTTTTCTAAAAAGCAAATATTTCTTCCAGAATTTGTGAGTAATAAAAATGTGTCTTTCTTTCATATATCCAACAGAATGGCCTCTTCAAAATGTGCATTTCTTGCAGATCTTGGTGTCCAAGGACTAGAAAGTGGATAGTCGTGTTTTTGGGAATCATACATTTGAGATCTTTTCTGGACAATGCTAATAATAAATAGGTCTATTGCCATCCAAAGCTGTTACAGTGTATGACAATCTGCTCACGGCTAAGAGAGAGTTGCGTCACTGGCAGTCTTATTCCTCTCACTAGCAAGAAACCATGCTGAATTCATAGCTGGATTCCCACAGCACACTTAAATAGATTAGTGAAAGTCCAAAGGGCTTTTGCCTTTAAAAAATTCCTTTCTGGAACAACTGTAAGATTTCCTTCCTTCCTTCCTTCCTTCCTTCCTTCCTTCCTTCCTTCCTTCCTTCCTTTCCTCCTCCTCCTCCTCCTCCTCCTCCTCCTCCTCTTCTTCTCCTTCTCCTTCTCCTTCTTCTTCCCATCTCCTTTCTTCCTTTTTCTTCCCATTTCCTTCTTCCTTCCTTCCTTCCTTCCTTCCTTCCTTCCTTCCTTCCTTCCTTCCTTCCTTCCTTCCTTCCTTCTCTTTCTTTCTTTCTTTCTTTCTTTCTTTCTTTCTTTCTTTCCTCCTTCTTCTCATCTCCCTCCTTCTTTTCCTTCCTTTCCTTCCTTTCCACCTCCTCCTCTTCCTTCCTCTTCCTCTGTTTTCTCCCTTTCTTCCCCCTCCCTCTTTTTTTTTTTTTTTTTGTTCCTAGTTTTATGTACCAAAGGGGAGAGATAATACCTCTTAATCATTTATGGGCATTTTTTTCCAAGGAATTCCTAACCAGGAGCTCAGCCTTTGTTTTTACTTCTATATTGGACGCCTTTGATGCCAACTCTGCTTTCTGTCCATCTTCCACTGTTATGAATTCTCAGAGATCCTCTGGAGAAAAGTTGGCAAACATTTCCGGAGATTTGAAGCCCACTGATTGTTTATCGATGCTTATTACCTCTCTCCTTTAGCTGCTAATTTCCCCTAAGGGTTGGGCAGAGGAGGAGCAGAAGCCCTGAGGAGGCAAGGAGAAGCAGGAGAAAGAGAGATAAACAACACAGCAAGAAAGAGCAGAGACGGGGCATAATTGTCCCTGCCCACTTTCTCCACAGTTGGCCAGTTGGCCTTTCCGAATGTCCAGGGGAGAGCATCCCTAATGAGGGCAGTGCAGATGTTTCTGCAGCCAGCTGGGGAATCCCGATGGTTGAGAAATTGGGGGTCTGCAGTTGGCACAAGTCTTAGAGAAGGTGATTAGGGAGGGTGGATGCAGCTTGGGGGGAACGAGCAAGCGGCATCTATGGTTATGGTTATGATTATGAATTTATTTTATTTTGTAAAGTGAATTTTGTTGTATAACTATGTTGGATAAATGGAAAATAAATTTTTTTTAATAATAAAAAATAAAAGTCTTAGAGAAGGTTGCTCTCATGGAGCTAGCCCGAATCCTACGATGTACCAGAGTTATTGTTTATGACAGGGGTGTCAAACTCAATTTCATTGAGGGCCGTATCACTATTGCGGTTGCCCTCGGGGGGGTGGTGGCCAGGGTGGGTGCAGCCTACTGGTGGGCATGGACAGAGTGGGTGTGGCCTACTGGGTGGGCATGGCCAGCTCTACATTGTTCGCGTCAAGGGTACCTGGGCAGGAGTGGGACAGATCTGAGGGTCTCTGGCAGAAGGGGATGAGACCAGGGCAAGTGCCAAGGCATGGTCCACTGGAGGAGCCTCACTGTTCCTCTCAGGCCATGCGGAGGGGGCTGGATGGTGGCGTGGGCTGCCCGGAGCCCTGGGCAGCAGAGGTCAAATGCCCAGCCTGGCCCTCAAGCACCTGCAGCACCAAGCTGTTTCCAGACAGCCTTGTGGAGCTAAGACTGAATACGTTTCAGTATAGATGGCCACCACAAAATTGTACATTGGCTCCCGGCTGGCCTGGGCCAGGGCCAAGGCAGTGGTGTCTGTTCCCTCACTGTTTCCAGGATGGCTTTGTGGGCCACATGGAACCACTTCCCAGGCCGCATCCGGCCCCCAGGCCTTGTTTGACATGTTTGTTTTATGAGATAGGCAGCGCTTCCGGGTTGAAAGGATTAGCTGGTGGTGTCACCGTCGCCCTAGGGATGCCCAGCTGGGGGCTCCTTTCATGTCCCCAGCAGGAGCTGGAGTGAAGGATAGGAGCTCAATCCCGCCCCACAGCAGCTCTCGTTCTCAACGTGGGCTTGCTCACCTCCTGCCCAGCGTTCCACCCACCCAAGTCGCCATGCTCCTAGGGAGCCATATACATCCTGTAAATAAATAAACAACCTGACTAAAAGGGAACCACCAATCTCTTCGGGTGACGAGGGCTTAAGGGTTGCTTCTGAATTTTTTCCCCAGTGGATCATTGCAAATGGTGGATGGGGCAACTGTAGCATTTGTGTTTTCTGCAATGTGTGTGGCTGTTCATACTTCTTTTATTTATTTATTTATTTTCAAAAATACCCACTATAGATCTTCCCTTGTAGTATCTCCCTTGGCTTCAGGAAAATCAAGAGAAGCAAGAGAAGCTGTAGAGTAGGGCTCCCCAACCCCCAGTCCGTGGACTGGCACCGGCCGTGGGATGCCAGCAACCGGTTCACGCAAACAAGCGAAGCCCCATCCATGGGATGCAGGCAATACATAAAACCTCGCACCCTCCGGTCCGTGGAAAAACCTCTCTCCATGGAACCGGTCCCTGGTGCCCAAAAGGTTGGGGAACTGTGCTGTAGAGCATGAGGTGGTGGAGGAGGAGGATGTTAGCAAAGTCAGGACATTCACACACATCCCTTAGCTGCTTCATAATGAAATAATTTTATTTATGAACCCCCATATACACCAGAGGGGCTGTTTCTGCATGGCATTCATATAAGACACCCAGGAAAACCATTTTATTTATAACCAAGCCTTTTGTTTTCTCCCTACCAAGGATCATCCATGAAGATGGCTTTTCTGGAGAAGACGTGAAGCAGTACAAGCCTGTGATCTATAGCAACACTATTCAATCCTTGGCAGCTATTGTCCGTGCCATGGACACACTGGGCATAGAATACGGGGATAAAGAAAGACGGGTGAGTCACAGTCTAGATAGCAGTGAAGAAATGGTTTCAGTGTAAAAAATCTCACCTGCCTCGTGGTCCTCAATGATATATTGAGAATTTTCATGGGAACAGCTTGAGAACTTATTTCACTTGGCCTGTCCAGCTGAATTTTGCCCAGCAAATGTATTTCTAATGGATGCATCTTACACTATTTATTGGATACTGCAGTTTTGATAAAGAGAATATTTAATATAATAATAATAATAACAACAACAACAACAACAATAATAATAATAATAATAATAATAATAATAATAAGTTGGAAGGGACCTTGGAGGTCATCTAGTCCAACCCCCTGCTCCGGCAGGAAACCCTACACCATTGCAGACAAATGGCTGTCCAGTCTCTTCTTAAAAACTTCCAGTGTTGGAACATTCACCACTTCTGGAGGCAGGTTGTTCCACTGGTTAATTGTTCTAACTGTCAGGAAGTTTCTCCTTAGTTCTAGGTTGCTTCTCTCCTTTGTTAGTTTCCATCCATTGCTCCTTGTCCTGCCTTCAGATGCCTTGGAGAATAACTTGACTCCCTCTTCTTTGTAGCTCAGGGCTGAAATGAGGGGTCCTTGGTGGCCTCTGCGCTATACTGACTCAGGAATTCTGGGACTTGAAGTCCACAGGTCGTAAAGTTGCCATAGTTGCCCGCCCTTACTCTAAAGGTTTAGCTTTCCATGGGAATGTCCAAAAATAGAAAGTGATATTTGGTGTACATTCAAACCAGGAGAATCATAATATCCAGGATATTATTCCCTAGCCAAGTGATGACTTTCCCCCACCTTCTCTTTCAAACTTCCCTATAGCAGCAGACAAATATATTAATGGGAGGGATTTTCCAAATTAAAAACGGCCCTTGTTTGTTTCATCACTGTCAGGATTTATTTCTTGGTTTGTTTGAGCGAATTTCTGCATTACTCTAGAGAAGGGGGAAAGTGTGTAGGAAAAAGGATGGCAGAACCTAGGGCAGAGTGAAAGGAGAGATCAGCCTAGAATCTCTATGTAGCCACAAGAAAACTAGGCCCCACTCCCCTTGACTGCTGTTAACTTTTATGTAATTCTAAGTAGGTATTGACGATTCCTGTGCTCAGGCCTTTAGCAATAAATCACAGCTTAACTGAGCCTTTGTATGTGAACCAGGTGTTTCATGCCTGACACTGTGTGAAAATACGCATTTAAATTTTCCGCCAGCATTTAGCTGGACATAAACATGGATTTGTTTATTTATAATTCATATTTCTAAACCACCCATTTACCTCAAAGAGGGGCTCTGGGCACTGTCCAATATAATAGAACCAATAAATAAAACAATGCACAAAACCTAAAACATTAGAAAATAAAAATTAAATGAACGTTAAAACAAATCAAAATGATAAAATAATGACAGACATCAAAAAAGGAGGGGAAGACTCCTAAGATGGCCGTTTAGCATTGGATCAACATTGGCATTAACTAGCGTTGAATCCTGCACCTAAAGAGGAATGCATATTTATCTGGGTAGAAAAACCCGATTTATTAACTGTAGCTGTACAGAAATGCTACCCTCTCTGTTATCAGGCTGAAAGAGATTTACTTCCAAGTAGATGCCTACAAGTGCTGTACAATTCTTAGCTGATTTGCTGACACAGTTCCATCCCCTTCAGATGCCTCAGCTGTGTTCGCTAATTATGGGGGCTGTTTAGCTGTGAACTTATTCCTGGAAGCACCAACAATTATCCTCGTCTCGATCCTCTGTTTCTTTATTATTCCACTGCAGTTTGGCGTGCAACGTTGTGCTGAGAAACAGCCATTCTTCCCTGCTATCTCCGGGGAGGGGGGGGGATTTGAGCTTTGTGGTCCTACCAAAGCTTTGGTTCGCACCTGCTCATAAATCACGGGGTTTCTCATCCAGCAGGCTTGAATGGCTCCTGGCAGAACAGGTGGACTGTCCCCTGGGAATTGGTTTATCAGCCTCAGAAAAATAATGAGTGTGGCTCACTCATGCTCTCTGAATCTCTGCTGTCGGCTTGCACACACATGACATGTCATGGAGAAGCATGAGGTTAAAGCAGCCTTAGGGAAAATTGGCACTGGATATTCTGTGATTGGAAGGGCAAAGGAGAATAGCAACAGCAATAGCACTTATATGCTGGTTTTAGGCAAAAGTATCATAAATCATAGTCACATGAGGCGGGAGTCATTGTAACTTTGGTCACTACTGTAAGTGACGAATTCCAAATAGTGGGCTATGTGCTGGGTCTTTAACTGTCTTTGTGCAAAATCAGCCAGTAAAAGGCAACTTCCTCATGTTATATGAGGCCTTTGAACTCTAGTGCTGGAGAAGACTCCTGCGAGTCCCCTAGAGGTCAGTCCCAGAGGAGATCAACCCTGACTGCTCCTTAGAAGGCCAGATCCTGAAGTGGAAACTCAAGTCCTTTGGTCACCTAATGAGAAGGAAGGACTCACTGGAGAAGAGCCCAATGCTGGGAAAGATGGAGGGCAAGAGAAGAAGGGGACGACAGAGAAGGAGGTGGCTGGATGGAGTCACTGAAGCAGGAGGCGTGAGCTTCAATGGACTCCAGAATATGGTGGAGGACAGGAAGGCCTGGAGGAACGTTGTCCATGGGGTCGCAATGGGTCGGACATGACTTCACAACTAACAACAACAACCAGACAGGAAATCGGGAAGCTGCCATCAAAAGAGCATCAGGTTGAAGAAACTGTAGATGTTGGACAGTTAAGTAATTTTCAACGCAAATACAAAAATCTGATCAAAAAAACAACCTAGAACTAACTCAACTGTTCATCATATGATTTGGTCTCTAGACCCCTTATCATCTTTGTTGCTCTTTTGTGCACACTTTCAGGGTCTCAGCATCTTTTTTGTGTCATGGCAACCAAAGTTGGATGCAGTATTCCAACTGTGATCTCACCAGTGCAGTATAAAGAGATACTATTATCTTATGTGATCTTGATACTATCCCACTGTTGATGCCGCCAAGGACACAGCACGGAAGGGACCTCTTCCAGGTCAGAATAGGAAGTGTCCCTTTCATGAAAGAAAGCTCCATTTGTAAATTTAGGGAGACACTATTCATCAAAGGACTATGGTGGTGAAGCACATCTTTGCAACTCAATTATTTTTAATTAGTTTCCAGGTAGACAGGTGTGTATTACTTCCTAATTAAATTTTGCTTTGAAAAACTAAACGTTCCATATTCCCCTTTCTAATTTTAAACCCTTTATAAGAGTAACTGCCAAAAATTGATTTAAAAGAAAAACAGAGAGAGCAAGAGAAACAGGATCTGACAGGCTCCAAAATGATTAATTAATTTCACGAAAGGGTTTCTTGCACTAGGAGCCCACGGAGAAGCACCTACTTTAGAATATAGAGACATACAATCATGAGGCTGGAAGGGACCTTAAGGGGAGGAGACGAGACAGTTTCTGCCCAGGATGTGAGGGTCTACAGAGGTCTTCTCAGCCCTCCTTTGGACCAGCACAATGTTCAGGTCTTCATGGAAAGCAGCTGGATGCAACTGTTCTCCAACAAAGCCTTCTGGAGATTCCAAGATTGTGGAAATTGAGGCTGGGCAATTGTGCTATTCTAAGCTGAAATGTGCAGAGATGGGCCCGGGAACAGCTTATCTGCTTTGGAGTGAAGGTGTCACTTCACTATCTACGAGGCTGTGTTTTTCTTGGAAGATTATTCAGCCTGGCCTTCTCTGCCAATCAGTTAGAGAATGCCTATGTCAGTGAGAAATATGGCTTTGGATCTCTTCCAATTATCACATCTTGCGGTCCCGAAGTTACCTCGTGGCAATGTTCTCCCTGCAAACTGTGATTGGATGCTCGTTCGATGGAGTTCTTTTCCACTCTCCAGAGCTCTGAAAGTATTGAAAACATCTCTGGGCTTTTGTCCAAATGCTGCACACTGCAGAATTACTGACAAAGCAAGCCATTGGCCTCCTCTGATAAGAAACTTTAGGAGCTCTCCACCAACAACCTGGAATGGAATGCCTTCAATGGAAATATGGGTGGCAGGATTATTTGGAGAGGGGAGTGGAATTAAAATACTGAATTATTTCAATTTTGATGCAGCTCCTCCACCCCAGCACCCCAGCTATAGAACATAGAACCATAGGGCTGGAAGGGATCTTGGAGGTCTTCTAGTCCAACCCCCTGCTCAAGACAGGAGATCTTATACCATCTCAGTCAAATGGTTGCCCAGTCTATTTTTCAAAACTTCCAATGATGGAGCACCCACAACTCCAGGAGACAAGCTATTCTATTAATTGTTCTCACTGTCTGAAAATTTCTTCTTACTTCTGAGTTGAATCTCTAACAAGCTTCTACCCATTTCTTCTTGTCCTGTCCTCTGGTGCTTTGGAGAATAAGTCAACCCCTTCTTCTCTGCGACAATCCCTCAATACTGGAAGACAGTACTGTCACCCTTAGTCCTTCTCCCCAACAGGCTAGACATACAGTACCTAGTTTCCCCAACAATTCAGCATACAATTTAGCCTCCAGTCCCTTTATCATCTTTGTTGACCTTCACTGCACATATATTCACACAAGACCCTTAACAGGCCAAGTAAACGTAACTGCATTCCCACAATCCGCTAAGCTGGGTTAGTTTCAACTCTATCTTTTTTGTCATTCACTTTCTTGGGTTTACCCACCCACCCACCTAGCCCAGCCTGGTTCCTTCCAGAACCAGGGTATTATGCAAATGCATAAAATAGGTTTATTCACTAGCCAGGATGTTTTAAGTGAATTCAGCCTCTTTACGATTGATAAAAAAAAGGCTTTTTATTTAGATGCCAGAGAGCATTGTTAATGTGCTACGATTCTTGAGAAGTTTTCAAGAAGTTCCTTTAGTCTTAGAGACCAAAATGAACCCAAAGAAAATTTGCAGAGGACAAGAGAAGAGTTACTCCCTCAGACGAGACCCATCAGGTCATCTGGAGAAATGGATCTCTTGCTGATCACGTTTTAATT